TTAAATATTATACTAGTGTCATCTGCATATAGAATGCATGTTTACTGTACCTAACTTCAGTACAATCCAGATCTCCTCCTCACCCTATTTTTGGTTAGCTCCTAGAGAGAATTTGAATGTCAGTTGCAATATTACTGCCACTAGACTGAAATCTTTATTTATAAACAAACTGCAATGAATCAGACATTAAATTGAAGGTAAAAGAGAGGAAATTTCATGTGTGCTAAAAAATGCAAACTCAGAATTTTACTGTGTTGGGGGGGGGGAGAAAAAAAAGGGGGCAGAAAACCGAAAATGAAATGGGCTCTGTAGTCAGCTCTACCTTTGCTGATGGGCGGTGCCTTGCGTATCACTACGAGAATTCAATATGAATATGTTCACAAGATTGCCTTGAAATTCTTCAGACTGTAGCCTGGCCATTTTTCCTCAAAACAGAATGTTTTGCAGTAAGATTTGACATTCCTGTCTCACCGATTATAGGTAACCATGTTCATCTTGCACAAGGTTTGTGCATACTTCTTTCTCTAGTGAAGCATTCTTGTGTAAAGGACTCCGTCAACCGCCTTTTCCATGAAGGGTCTTAGATTGTTTGAGTACTCTGAGCGTCATAACACCGACTGACATAAACTACAACTACTCCTAAACAGTCTGCTAACTCTTTGCTGGCAGTGTCCTTCGGAACTCTAATGAATGAAGTCCCTGTAACAACATTTTTCGGTATACAAATTGATAATGAATTAAATTGGAAGAGTCATGTGGAATAAAACCTTCCTAAACTCTGTTCTGCTATTTTAGTAATTAGGAGTTTATCTTATTTTATTTTTCTTACTTTCATTCTATCATTAAGTATGGAACAGTCCTCTGGAGCAATTCAACTAATAATTCTAGGGTTTTTAAATTACAAAACAAAGTAATAAGGATCATATTGGGAGTGCGACCCAGAGACTCTTGTAGAAGCCTTTTTAAGAAATATATATTTTACCATTGTCATGTGAATATATTTTTTCTTTGATGTTTGTGATAAATAATCAGAATAATTTCTGTTCAAGTTCAGAGGTTCATGGCCTGAACACTAGAAGCAAAAATCAAATTTGTATTCCAACTTCAAATCTTTCTGTTTTCCAGAAGGGCACTATGTTTACTGGTATTAGGTTATTTAATAGATTGCCAGAGACCATTTAAAGTCTTAGAAAGGAGAGAATCAGTTATACAGTTGATGAATTTTTGGAGCATACATTAAATAATTAGTTACAGTGTTTGTTTAGCTTTGTATTGTTTTTCTGCTTTGTTTGTTTATGTTATACTTGTGATCAGTTTCATGTCCATTGTATTTTGGACTTGTGAAATGTGAAATATATGTATATGTATGAATGCAGTTTTGAATATTTTGAGTGAAGTGGAACATGGGTTTACTGCTATACTGTTTTGAAATGGTTGAAGCCTACGAGCAAATCAGAATGTTCTGATTAACCCTTATCAGTTGGGACTATGGGATTTAAAATCTTGTGGTATGGCACAGTTCCTCTCCAGGTTTCCACTTAAGATGTCAGTGCGTTATGGATATGATATTTTAAATCTTCCAATACTTGGGGCTTTTGGGGCTGGCAGTTATTTTATCTTAGGAAGGTAAGGCAAATAGCTAAAAAGTAATTCAATGTTTCACCAGCTGAAGGACATTCACGTGCCATCGCAATAATGCAACATGCCTAGTTAATATTAATAGGATAGAAAGGACCATGGATTAGATTTGCTTTGTTTCTCTCTTTACTTGCAGGAAGCACAAGGATTCTCACGCACTCAATCTAAAGCTAGACTTGTGTATGATTATTCAAAACATTCTCCACAGGGTGAGGAGAATGATGATAAGACATGCAACATTCCTGCTCCAGTTTCCAGTGATGAAGTCAAAAACAAGCTGGCAACTATACAAGAAAATGTCTCTGAGACACTGCTGGATTCAGTGAAGTTACTGCCAGTTCAGGTAGGAAACAAGGTAAAAGGATTTGAGGCTTTCACAGCTGTGACTATGAAGAAAGCAGTTGTCTGGGATTTGGCACCATGTATATGTGGTTTTAACCGACGTTTCGGAGGAATGTATGGCCTCCATCTTCAGGGTAGAAGGAAAAATGTAAGAAATCTGCAAGCGAAGAGACCGTGAGAACTGGTAAAAGCAGACGTTGGTTAACACCACATATACACAGCGCCAAATCCCAGAAGACTGCTTTCTTCAAGGTAAAAGGAGCTTATATAATTCAGTATTTTAATTCATAACTAATTTAACTCTGAAGTTCTAACTTTGACTCGGTCTAGCTTTTGTAATGTTTTGTTGTCTTACACTGAACTTGGTTTGGATAAACTTTGGGAGATCATACCACCCTATCTTATTTCTCTAAGATCCATTTTGATGTTATCCTTCCACCTACATCCAGGTCTTTCTAGTGATCTCTTTCCTCCTGGCTTTCCCACCAAAATCGTATATGCATTTCTTTTCTCCCCCATGCATGCCCATCTCATCCTTCTTCACTTGATCATTCCTTTCCTTTAATGTCAGAGACCAAGATTCACACCCATACAAAACTACAGATAAAACTTATATATTCTGATTTTACATTTTTTGCCCTTTACTGGGACTTCAGATTTTCTGCTACTGAGAAAAGAAGCAGTTGGCTTAATGAGGCTTGTTGAAAATTCTAATTCTTGCTTTTGGGTCCTGTTGTGACCCATGACCATATTTTTGATCTTTCCAAGATCATTTACATGTTTTGAAATGGGGCTTCTTCTTCAGTGAGAGGAGGGGATGGACTTTTTATGCCTAATCTGAACAGAGCAGTAATTTACTACTGGCTTTCACTGGCCTGACTCCTGATGGTCTTGATGGTCTGGTAATTTGCTCCTGGTCTTTGCCAGCACAGTAATTCTAGATTTAAGGCCCCGTAGGACTGATGACATCTTTCTGCCTTGTGACTGATGGTCCAGGCCTGGTCTAATCTGGTCAATTGCTGCTGGTCCTTACCAGCAGTTATTCTTGATACCTGGACCCATGAGCATATTTTTCACTCTGACTGCCTGATTTGCAGTGTACAGTCTTTGGCCCTTGTCTGTTAATTTCTAGTCATTTTTGGTTTCAAGCCCTGTGGGAGCCATGATCTTTTTTTATTTATTACTGAATTTATTGTACATTTATGACCATAAGCATGAATAGTTACAACACTCTTACTAACCTACACTCTCTCCAAGTAAGTACAGTACATGTTAAGTCTTCACAGTCTGTTATGTCTTCACTAATTATTGCTTGGTAGTGACTCCTAACAGTGGAGATTCCTCTGCTTTCATTCTGATGGCTGAACACCAACTGCAGCTGCTGTCTTGCAACTGCTGATTGACTTGAGTTCCCTGGTCCTAGTCTGGTATGGTTATCAGCTGCTGGCCTTCACCAGCCATCAGTCTTGGTTTCAGGCCCCCCACAGGGCCCATGATCAGTTGTTTCTGCACCATGACTGACTGGTTCAATGTGTCTGTCTGGTAAATTACTGCTGGCCTTTGCCAGTGTAGTCATTCTTGGTTTTGGGCCCCATGGCACACATGACCCATATTTTTCTGACTAATTCTCCCTGTATACCTACTGGGCAGCCTGAAGAGAACACTGCCTTCAGCATCTCCTCTATTGTTTGCATATTTTTTTGTTGTAGATAAGGAATTTAGCAATACACTGCAACCTCAGTAATCTAAACTAATTAAAGACAGGTGTGTTTGCACTATCAACTCTTTCAGATTACTGGATTAAAATGAAGTTTTTAAGGAAAATTATTTATTCAGAAGATTTAATTAACACGTAGTATCATAGTTCACTATAATTTATTTTTAATGAAGGGAAGTAAAATAATTAAATTAAATTTATTATTTTTGGAGGTGCCTTTGGAGAGGTGTAACTGCAAATCAATTCAGATTAACAAGGTGCCACAGCATGTCATATGAGATTTTAGAGTCTCACAGTGGTCAGCATTCAGACTGCTGTCTTCTGGGCTGTGACCTCAACCCAGCAGCATAACAAAGCCAGTGTGTGCATAAGCTCAGCACCCTGCTTCCCCAGTTGTTAACAAGAATATAATTGTCCATTTTAGCAGCTTGTCATTGTATGATATGATACTATATACTGAGCCTTGGTAAGAGGTCTCTGTTGTATCCTTTCCCCCTACTGTGCTGTCCTTTGAGGATACTTTCAGTGCGGTGGTGGATGCTACAGGAGCACTGCTGGACAAAGCTGCTGAGGATATAAGCAGGAAACTGCAAGATCCTTGAATGTACGAGGCTATGGAACGAAATAGGTTCTGTTCGCAAATATTGCTGTTTGTGACTTCCAACTGAATTATTTCTATAGCTTCAAGGAGGTCCCATAGAAAACATGTCCATTTCCTAGCAGTGGACATCTGCTGTTTTCCAGCGTGCCCGTCTAGCAGTCTGTTATCTAGCAATAGATGTCCTATTTTTAAGTACTTGTGTCATGGAAATGTGCCAACTCGTTCCCTAGCAGTGGGTCTACATGTCACAATATGATATACCAATGAAAAGAATCTGAAGATATGTACCATTTTTTCATTCTTTTTGCACTAGTATTAGAATTGGCATTTTTTGTATTTAGGTCTGAATCCTACCTCAAGTGCAAATAATTGTTTCTCCTTATTGCTTTTAATTTTCAGTCAAATCAGCTTACACTTTAAACAAAAACTTAAAAGTAACAACTTATTTAATTGATTTCTATGAATGCAGGGTTCACAAACTCCAGTGATGGGAATGAATATCCTTCATAGCAGCTCAAGCAACAAGTTAACCAGTTCTCCAGGGAAAAGAAATGTTCTGCCCAGATCAACTGGAAGTCCATGCGTACCAAATGTACCACAGATGGGACTTCGTGTTGGTAGTCCTCGCAAAGGAGATTCATCTCCAAAAATTGGCTCAGTACTTCACAAAGCTGCTCTCTTTGAGTCAAGCCCAACAAAGAAGAATAGCAAAGATCCCACTGAGCTCTCTGTAGCAGAGAGGCTTGCAATGTTTGAACATAACAAGGGGCAAGCTCTGATGCCTAAGGCTGCATTATCAATGCCTGTTCCTGCCAAATATATTGCAGGTAGTAGTGATGGGCAGAAAAGTATTCCCAGTAAAGTCTATTCCCCTGGGAAGGGGAACAGGATGGTCAACAGCACAGTGACACAGCTGCAGGAATCTGTGACATCTAACACCAATGCCAAGACAGTTTTGCCACCTGGAAAACAAAGTGGCCACGTGGTGAAACAAGCTAACAAATCCTGTGTTGCTGATACTGCTCTTTCACCAGCAGCTCCTTCTGAGGGTATGAATTATTATTTTATAAATTACTATATTGTCACGTGTTGGGTGTATAACGCGACAAATAACTTCACGCCGTATTGAATATAGCGAATTTTATTCCACATTCGCTCTTACAATTACACAATTTACAATCTGACAATTACTGCCATCGGCAGTATCAGAAATACTACACTGCAAATGCCAGAATACAACTGACTGGTTGCTGGCTAACTCGTTACTCTCCGCTGGCTAGGTGGAGAACTGTTGATCACACACTCTGACTCGTAGGCTTGCTCGGAACTAACTCAGAACTGACCGCGAATAGTCTTCGCTGCTCCGTATCTAGCCTCGTTCCGGACAACTCAGAAAACAGCCACGTAATAGGCACCATTGTTGTCTGGTGCCGTGTTGCTAGCAACGCTATCCAGAGTTGTTTACTGCTGCCTAGCAACCGTGGTATCCCTTGGTGATGTCACCGCTGTTGACTCACGTTGCAAAGCTACCAGGATGCTGGGACTCGGCTCATTTCGGCTCAGCTCGGCGCATCAGCTCTGGGGGGGGGACATCCAGCACACGTCACAATATGAAATACTGTCCATTGGACAATGCCTAGTTAAACCCGTAAAATATAGTGCAGTGTTGTTTTGTTTCTGCCTCACGCTGAGAGAACATAGACTTGGCCTTTTTGAGAACAGAGGGCTGAGGAGAATTCTTGGACCTATGAGGGAGGAAGTAACACGAGGCTAGAGGAAAATGCATAGTGAGGAGCTTCATAATTTGTACCCACCAGATATATTAGGACAATCAAATCATGGAGGATGAGATGGGCAGGGCATGTAGTATGCACAGGGGAAATAGGCATACAGAGTTTTAGGAAGAAAAACAAGGAAAGAGAATACATACAATTCTGGAAATTTCTTGACAAGCTAAGCAACTGTTAGCTTCTAAAAAGGGCTCTGCTCCTTGTAATTGGGAGATGATTCGTTTTGACTCAGTTATGATTTATATACAGCTATCAGAGACTTTTTCTATAGTATGACATGAAAATAAAAAAATTTGGAGTTTAGTTGAAATCACAAGGCGTTTATGCTCATGCCACTTGGTGCCACCACTAAGTAGCAGGTAGCAGACCGTTGTTTTAAAAGAACATGTTTACATTAAGACCATTTCAGTTGCAACATCATAGTAAAAATGAATTAACATAGAATCAGGTAATAGTAAGGATTTTGTTTCTGGAACTAATGCCAAGCTGGCCCTATGGATTTTGGCTATTGAACAATGTGGTAACAAAGTCTAAGTGAAATGCTTAAGAAGAAGTGATTTTAAAGAGCGAGAGGAGAGAGGAACAATGTTGGTAAGTTAACTTTGTTTTAATTTCACTTTAATATTATAATTATGTAATTGCCAGATACTTACTGCATACAAAATGATTTGCAAAATGTAATTTCATTGATGAGCTGCTGTTAGTGTAAAGATCCTATTTGCTTTCCTTCTATTATCATTTAAGGAAGAGAGCAAGCAGTTTCATAATTTATCATACTGCTTCACAGATTTGGACATGTGATCATTTCAGTTGTATGAGAGCTATTTGAAAAGTAACCTCTGTTTATTTTTGGTAACTAATGTAGGAGCTGGGGAGAGCTTGCACACGTGAGGGAGCATCACATGATTCATTGCCTTTCAACTATCACATAACTGAACACATAATGTTTCTGTCTCTACAGACTGAGTTATGTTGTTTCCTGCGATTGATAATCCTCTCAACTGTGAAATTCATAGTTTTCCACTTTTTTCACATTAAAAACATGAGTGCTGTAGAACTCCATCATGAATTATTCGTGGCAGTTCACAGCCAAAATGTAAAGAGTGAAGGAACTCTAAGACAGTGGTGTAGAATATTCAAAGATAGGCTAACAGATGTTCGCAATGAAGAGAGAATTGGTCTACTGGCCATCTATAGTGAGTGATGATCATCTTCAAAGTGTTGGCCAAAACACTTATGAAAGATGGCGCTTATAATTTTAGAAATTTGGTGCGAATTTCTAGTAATTTCATGCACCATTTCTCTGCGAGATGATCACAAGCTAAGCTCTCACAAGTTTTGTGCAAGATGGGATCCGAAAATGCTTACGGGTGCGCACAAAGCACAGAATGGCTTCAGCTTTGACTTTTTTAGATTAATTCATTTCTCAGTCACATCATACAAGTAACAGGTGATGAAACCAGGGTTTTATTTTCGAATGTTGAAACCAAAGAGCAGTCAAAGTAATGGATGCACACACATTCACCAAACAAATAAAGAAAGTTTAAATAGATGTCTGCCAGAAAGCTGATGGCAACTGTTTCCTGGGACATGAAAGGAGTGCTAATGGTGGAATCATGCAATAAGGGACCTTGACAATGTCATAAGTGTATTGTGAAACACTAAGAGAACTCAGAATTGCTGGGTTTCTGGACTTTTTCCATCACCCAGTGTTCTAGAAAATAGAAAACACAGCGTTTTGGAAATGATCTATTTCCATCCTCACATGAGTGTGGAGAAGACGCCATTGTCAGAACTCTTTAGAATCTACTAAAAGAACTGCATAGGGCCATTCAGATACAAAGGCATGGAATGCTGACATACGGTGTAGTACTCCTCCATGACAATGTGCACCTGCATACAACTGCTCGCAATTGAGCACTGCTGGAGCATTTCAACTGGGAATTGACCACCCTCTTTACAACCCCAATCTCGGTCTGAGTGACTACCACCTATTTACCTACCCGAGGAACTAATGGGATCACAGCTCTTCAACAATAGTGAGGGGTTGATGGAAGGTGTCAAAATGTGGCTGAGCTAACAGATGATAGACTTCTTTGATACAGGCATACAAAAACTTGTTCCCCAATGCAACAAGTGCCTCATTTTCTGGAGTGACTACTCGTACATTGTGAAGTAGCTCAAATATGTTTGTATCTTTTATCTATAATGAAATTTGTTTATCTCATTGCTTGTTTTGTTAACAGCTCATAGGAGGCTACTTTCTGAATAGCTCTCATGTGTACCAAGACTGAACTAAGGCCACGCCATAGTTCAAGTGGTTAGTCGCTAGCTTCCCACCGCGTCGCCCTGGGTTCGATCCCGGGTCTGGTCAAGTGGGATTTGTGGTGGACAAAGTGGCAAAAGGGCAGGTTTTCTCTGAGTACTTCAGTTTCCCCTGCCAATCATCATTCCACCATTTTTTAACTTTTCATTGTCTACTCTGTGATTCCACCATTGCTTCACAATCACCCTCACCTATCATCTGGGGCTGGTACAATAGGCCAAAAGTGGCTGCAGTACAAGGGACTTAGTCCCACCCCACTAGCAATAAAAAAAACTGAATTAAAAATGGAAGTGTTGTTGGGCAGGCAGTAGTGAAAGTCAAGTATCTGGAACAAAACATTCTATGAGAAGTAGCCGAGTGGTGCTTGCTGGCTTGGGCATATGAATGGCTTCTTCTGGTTCCAATAACTGTAACATTTTGGAAACTCGTGTTTATAGAACGCTACTACTACCCTGTCCTCTACATAATTTCACACATCTTGCAGTAAAAGCATGGGATAAAACAAGTTTTTACTAGATTCTGTTACATATGCCAAATATTAAAAAGTACAGTTCACACGGTAGCGTAGTTGGTTGAGGCACTATGCTACAAGCCGGAAGGTCGTGGGTTCAAGTCCCGATGAGGTCATTGGATTTTTTCAATTTACCTAATCCTTCTGGCCGCACTATGGCCCTGGGGGTGACTCAGCCTCTAACAGAAATGGGTACCAGGAATTAATTAAATAATTTTCCTGGGGAGTAAAGATCAGCCAGCACGTAAGACTGGCAGCCTTACCACCATCTCTGAGCCGATTGTCTAGATAATGTGGGACCCTCAATATCTCACAACCCTATGGGCCTTCATGGTCTGTTACAGGGATAGCTTTACTTTTTTTACTTTACAGTTTCTGTATGTGATGCTGTGTAATTAGGTAGATATGTATGGAAGTTTTGAAGGAACCTGTTGCCTCTATCTTTAGGATGTACCAAACTAAACTGGCTTGCAGCCCAGAAGACCATAATCTAAATATTCATATCCCTGAGAACCCCAGACCTTGTGTATGTGAAATAAGCCTCCATTGCCACTACTTGCAGACTTGCCAACAAGATCCAGCAAGGCTTTGGCTCAAATGTTTGAACAAGGCAATGCATTTGCGGTACATAATGCCGCTATTGAGAATGTGCAATCAGAACGACAACAGGAAATGGCAATGTTGTTGAATCGCTGGAACAGGAACAAACAGTTGGCTTCTTCAAAAGAATGCAATGTGAATACTGATGGCACAAACAATACGACTGCTGTACAGGCCGATCAGATGAAACAGGTGATATTATATACAGGTTTCATATTACAAATTCTAGCTTTTATTAAATTATTCAATTTTTGTCACTTGTTATTGATTTCAGATATTTTACACTGTTCAGATTATGAGAATTAGAGGTGCAGCAAACAGAGATTGCATGAGAAATATATGTACAGTGGAACCCACATTTAATCTTTCTCAGTGTTCCCTGTTGTTTAACACTGAATTACAATGATCCCAAGTCTTAATTTTCCCTCATTTATGATATTTGTTAATGGAGGTTATACTGTATATACACCATATAGATACTAAAATTAAACCAACTACTTGGTATCTCTGCATTTGGAACTCTCACTTATGTCCTTACAGTTATGTTACACTTTATTTTTATTAGAATAAAAACTCTGATTAATAATTCTACCTTCTGGGGTATAATGCCATAAAGTCCATGGAAAATCAACTGATGTTTCGGAGGATCATGTCACTACCCTCTTCAGGGTTTAAAAGTAAGCCTAGTAAGAAGCCAGTAAGAAAGCATGTGGGGCTTGCCACTTGCTTTCACATCCCAGAAGGTAGAATTCTTCATAACCACTGCTCTGCAGACCTCAGATCCTGCAAAACCTCTGACAACTGTATGCTTAAAATAGCATATGTGTGTGTGTGCATGTGCATTTTTTAGATTTGTTCCAGAATGTTCATTGTTCCTTGTTTGCAGTAGTGTGGATTGCTGTTATGTTTTCCTCTCCTCCACACATTAATCATACTTGTGTTCATGTTTCACACAACATTGTATCCTTAAAAATATTGAAATTCTGGTGAACTAAGGCCCAGCACTGGGTGATGTTTCTTGAAAGACTCAGAGAACAATTCAGGAACAATGGACAATTAGAGACTGAGGTGTGAGTGTTATTCTGATTCAAGAACAGCCACGACACAGCATTTTCCCCACAGCTCTAAAGTCTAGCCAAGTGTGTGAACAGTAACTAGCTGAACAATTGCCACTTTCGTGTGTTTGAAACCATATAACAAGTGAACAGCAGTATAGGGGCAGTCATTCATGAACCCCTTCATTTTCAAAAGCAGAATGCAGCACTGGTTTAAAAAATGCTGTGTCAAATATGAACCACCCTCTTATAACAAATAATGTCACTCAGGGCAGATGCACCAGATTTTTCTCTTCTCCACAGAGTCCTGACCTGTTCTATGGCCCATTCAGCCTCCTATCCAGTGGGCCCTGGCTTTTCTCTTCTGGGGAGGGAGGGTGGAGGGTAAATGAGTGGGTCATGGAGCTGTACCTCCACCCCTCCACACTTCTTCATGGCATGGTGCTAAATTAAGCACAACGGAAAATATACTTTTACGTGCTGTATGAATGTGTAATTATAGTTCATATGTATAGATAATCCAATGTTGTGAATTTTATATATCCATAGGACTTCATACAGGTATATCACAATTTAGAAAGAAAATTCATTCCATGAAGACTGTTTGTAAGGTGAAAATTTGTAAATCCAAAATTATATTTACATTACTTTTTGTGTCAAAGTCGCCAATTTGTTCTGAGTCACAGAAAAATCCCCCAATATTTTTGACATACATGGTATGTTTTAATAGTAATGAGCCATAAAATAATACAGTACTATTTCTTTATGGTAAATAACTGTTGCAAGTACAAGTGTATTATTTTATTTGTGTTTTTTCTCATAGCTTATGTAATGCAGTTATGCAGATTGTAGCTAAACTAACTGCAGTCCTTGCTGTCTTTGGCCTATCAGCTCCTCTTATAACCACTTGTATGTTGTACTTATTTGGGAGCTTTGTTGGGCACAAATAAGACGGATATTTATGGATAAAATGTGAGTGTCAAATGCATGGCTGATTTCATATGATCACAGCAATACTCATGGACAGACTGGAAAGGTGGGAGACGTACATCGGTGGGTTTGTCTGCTTCTCCCAATATGTTGTATGCAATAAAAAGAAACTTTTTTGTGTATGTAGATCATTTGTGAACATTTGTGAATCGAGTGTAGGTAGAACAAGAGATATCTGTACATTTTATGTTTATATTGACCAATTTAGATGAAGTAACTATGTTTAGTATTCAAGATGAACTGCATTGTTGATTTGGAAATATTGTTATGACAGGAGTGCTGTGGACCTCCCCCTCCCCCTCCATTACCAACTCCTGCAGATTTATTGCAAGTGCAGGCAGATGGAAGGCCTCCAGGATCTACACCATCAAAGACGAGCCATGACTCTAACGTATCACCTCTGAAGAACTCACCAGTGAAATATTTGAATGTATCAAAATTATCTTCCTCAGAAAAAAAGAAAGGTTTGATTCATTTCCTTATTGATTAATTCTGAATTCTTCTTGATCATTGATAACAACACTTGATGCACGGTCAGCAGTTTCATCATTATTACTCATAGTTTTCATAAAAGATATTCCAGCAGCATATCTCAGCTACAATTAATGCTACATATGGAAGCAGGATTCTGCCCTTGATATTCATTCATTCATCAGTAATCTGTCAAGATGACAGGTCCACAGTCTCTTCCAAAACAGTTCCTCCACTTGATGCAATCTAGGGCTTTCTCCTTCAAATGAAAGTATCCTCTTCTGTCCCCAAGGTCATCCAGCATCTTCTTACATCTTCTTCCTCGTCTTCTGGTCACTTCTATCCGTCCCTCTATCTTTCCTTCAGTAACTTCTTTTAGAAGGCAGTTACCGCGTAAGATATGACCAATCCAATTAGCCTTCCATTTTCTTATTTCGTGTAGGATATTCCTCTGCTCACTGACTCTAAATAACACTTCTTCATTTCTCACATAATCGGTCCAACTGATCTTCTCCATCCTTCTCCAACACCACATTTCGAAGCTTTCTAGGTGTTTCCTTTATTATCCATATTTCATCCTCTTCCTGTGAAATTCATCTTAACTGACAAAATTTGGTCTCTATCAAGTGAAGTCACATTGGCAGCAGAAAACTGAGGAATTTAACCTCGGTGCATTTCAGTTGAATGTTTCACTAATGAAAACATGTTGTGATGGTCATTTTTTGGAACACTTATCAGACATGAGAGAGATGCACAGCCCTTGTTGCATTCTGAAAGCTGAACTACAAAACAGGTAAATTTTCATAGTCAGAGCTAGACAAATGAAGCACAAATTCAGAGAAACAGTGAAGTTGAGGTAATGTAAAATGATTTAAATTTAACATTATTGTTTTGGGCATTTGGCTGAGTGTATATATTCATGAAAAATGAAAAATTCGGGATCGTAAAATCAAACGTTCGCTGTATTAAGCAGCAGTAGTATCAATGCTTCCAAAGGTTTTGCAGAGAAAATATGGCATGCTCTGCATGCAGATGAACCCCCATTTAATATTCATTTAAAGGTTTCCTTCACTTGACACTCAATTTCAATGATGTAAGACAATCTCAGTACTATATTTTGTCCATTAAAATTTTCCTCAATGTAATATTTCAGTCCACTTGCTCCATGAAGAAATCTTTAATGGGGTATGACTAGTGCAATTCCAAAATGTATTTTCCTTCTACAATAGCAAGTGTCATTTACAAAATCAAGCAATGACAAAAATAACTTCCAAATTACTATGGAGTTCCACCCTATTTACATGTGACCTTCAGTTATTTATTACATCAGACATTTTGTTACTGTATGAAGATGGAATTGACGTTTTCTGAATTTGTAATGTGATTGATAGATAGAGCTGTCAGAGCTCTTGTACTTTTGATAGAAGGTGTAGAAGTATTTGTCTCTCTGCCATCCATTAATGTTAATTACATGAAGTCTTTATTGCTGTCTTATAGGGACATGTAATGTGTACCAGCTGAGTATAAGATTGAGGAAAGAAATGCATTTTCAAGACTAGCAAACTTTATATAAATGGTGTTTGATAATTAACATCCAAGAGCATGTTACGATCATATTTGTAACTTCAACGTAGATGTCAAAGACAATACACAGTAGGAGACAGATCCTCTATTTATTCATATACAGTCAACTCTCGATTATCCGGGCTAATGGTGGGGATGGAAGTCACGGTTAATCGAAAACCCGGTTAAGCCAAATTTTATTATACGGGCTGGACGACTGTGAAGGGTCGGAGTTCGAGTCCCGGTAGGGTCAAGAATTTTAACTTCTCCAAATCGTCCAGACCGGCTCTGGGGTCCATCCAACCTCCTATCCAATGGGTACCGGGGGCTCTTTCCCCGGGGGTAAAGCGGCCGGGGCGTGAAGCTGACCACTCACCTCCAACTAGTGCCGAGGTCAAGAAAATTTGGATCTATACATCCACTCCCCCACACGCCTTAATGGCGTAGGGCTTAATTCGTTGAGCAGAGGAACAACTTTACCTTTTACCTTTTAATACCTTCATAATACTATAGACCTACCTGTATTTAAATTTATTCATCCTCATTTCTATGTCATCTCATGGCCTATTTAATACTTTCTTTACATTACACTCAGTATGAATTAGTTATTTCAATCACTGTTCAACAACATCCAGCACTTTTTACGGTCACACTTAACACTTAAAATAATTTAATACTGTCTTTTGCTTTTTCGCGGCATTTTCCTTTTTACGGATATCCGTACGAAGCCTACGTAATATTAGCTTGTCACTTAATAAACTGTCCTCTTCACTCTCAAGATAGTCTAGTAAGGATTCCAAATGATTAAGCGCAGCACCATGTGATACTTTCTTACTGGCAACACTGTCCACCTCTTCCTCATTCTCACTTTCTTCCCGCTCTTCTGGCTGCACCCCCATTGAAGTTACGATTTCGTCACTGCTTAACATTTCGAAGCCCGGTTCACACGAGTCACAGTTAAACCACTCTCTTATATTTTCCTCGTTGACTTCTTCACCACCATGAACTTGGTTAGCCACTTTTGTCAATTTTATGGCTATCTCATTTTCACTGAATCCAGTGAATCCATGGATTTCGTCATCTTCATTAGTGATGAAAGGCATCAGTTTCTTCCATGAATTTTTCAATACAGATGGCTTTACTGTATCCCACGCTGTTGAAATCTCGTATATGGCATCTAATACTGAAAAGGACTTCCAGAAACACGTCAGATCATTGCCTTCATCGATGTACTTTTGTAGCAAATTTGATCTGTAGATTCTCTTCATACTTGAGATAACTCCTTGATCCATTGGTTGGATAAGTGCGGTAACATTAGCGGGAAAATATTTCACAAAAATATTTCCATCATCTGACCTCAGGAGACTTTCGTTAGGATGTGAGGGCGCATTGTCAATGAGGAGCACAGCTTTCTCAGGTAGGCCTTGGGATTTTAGATGGTCACGAACTTGAGGCACGAATTTAAAATCAAACCATTCTTTAAATATCGCTCTATTCATCCAAGCTACTTTCTGGTTAAAATAATGGATAGGCAGACTTGAAGCTACTGTTCCTTTAAAAGAGCGTGGTCTTTTCGCTTTGCCGATAACTACTGGTATTAGTTTGTGTGTTCCTGATGCATTAGAACAGCACAAGACTGTCAATCTCTCCTTACTGGATTTGTGACCTGGAGCCTGTCTTTCATTTTGAAATGCCAATGTTCTGGTTGGCAAGCATTTCCAATAAAGACCCGTTTCATCGGCATTATAGATTTGTTCTGGCAGCAGATTTTCACTTTTCACAAAACTATCAAAATTGGTGCAAAATTGATCTGATGCTGACAAGTCCCCTGACAATTTCTCACCTTGAATACTGATTTCTCGTATTCCATGACGCTGCTTGAAACGTGTTAGCCAACCGGAAGAAGCGTCAAAACTCCCTTCTAGTTCAAGTGCTTCGAAAAAATATTTAGCTTGTTTAGCACAAACTGGTCCTGTTATTGTTGTTCCCTGTGCCCTTAGTTGATTAAACCAGGTCAGCATCGCTTTGTCGAGATCATCGTATGTTGATTTCTTCATGGTTTTTCTCTTCTTCATTCCGCTTGAATTAGAAGACGAAGCAAAGGAAATTAACTCATTCTTTTGTTTTTTCAAATCACGAACAGTTTGTTCTCCAATACCGTATTGCATTGCTAATTGTTTAACTACAGCTCCTTTTTCCAGCTGATTGATAATTTCAAGTTTCTGTTGAATACTTAACACAACACGCTTCCTTTTAAACCCCGACATTTTGCTAACGCACTTGAAGATCTATATTAAGAAACTGATACTTACTTTCACAATGCACTCTCACACTGAGATGGTACCGTTAAATAACCTGGGGCGGTGTATTTGTCCTTGAAACTTTCCAAAAATTCTTGCATTCTTTCACCCCCACCCTAGAACATTGTGTTCGCATAACGGGACGAAATAATGCAGAGCTCGGTTCACACTAGTGCGAAAATAGTGTTAAACTCACCATGTGAAACAAAAGTGAATGAATATTAAACAACATATAAACTTAAAAAAAAAGCCCCGGTTAAGCCGCAAACCGGTTAATCCGCCCCCGGATAATCGAGAGTTGACTGTAGTCACCAGAGCAACTGATGCAGTTGTCCCACTGGGACATACCACACTCTCAATTCCTGCAGAGAGGAAGTTAGGGCTCAGTGTTTACACTTTCCTGCCAGACTCCAAGGTCTTGAACCTTTTTGTCATGGGGTATGTGTGTTTCTACTCTGTCGATGCTGTCAGTGTCAAGGTGGAGTGATGAACAGTTTCATCACTAGCAACATTGCACCTAATGAATTTTGAACACAGAAAGAGAATGATGGCATTTTGGAGCACTGAGGGTGATGATTCTTGACTCTGTATACTTCAGACTGGCAGTGACACCTGAGTGGATCTATTTTTGTGGGAATCAAACTAGTGGTACATTGCTGAGAAAAGTACCTAATTTACTTCATGATTATAAGATAGAAAATGATTTGTCCATTTCTCCTTATTCTTTCTGACATCAAATTCAGAGTACTAACACACCCTCAGATGTTTGTTATTGAACATTCTTTGTAATTACTTAAACGATATTATGTTTGCCTACCCTGTGTCAGTGAAGATTTTCAGCATATATGCTATTACAATTTTTCAGCCCAGAATTGTGAGAGATATAAAGGATTGACAGATATGAAGCGTATCAAGGTCAGTCCACCTAAACGTGGCCATCTGTATCCATGCCTGTCTGATATTGAAGCAGCAACAGAGACAGAGAGTGAAATTCCAGATGAAAGGTGAAATTTAATTTTAAAATTGCCATGATTTTCCCATGCTACTTTGCTGAAGTCTTTGTTTGAAGTTGTTGTGTTTGTTAACATACCCCCCCAACATACATGATACTTGTATTCCCATCCTTGTTCTCGCAACAAAAACTTTGCAGTTCCTTTGGTTTCATTGCCTCTTATTTTCATTGAAAAATACATTTTTCAGTAAACTAAATATATTCAGTTTGGCCATTGTCAGATTGTAATCGTTTTGTTCTGCACACATAATATATTTTTAGTAATTAAAAGTAAAATAAAAAAGAAATTGTATGGGATTTCTTTAATCTGAAATTCATGCTAGTCACAGTTACTGATGTTGGGGGTTACCTCTGTTGTACACCCTTAAATGAAGCTTATAAAAGCAAAGGAATTGAGGGAGTTGGTTGGTATAGTGGCATCGCTATAGATTTGTATTTGGAGCTTCTCAGTCAAATCTTTGCTGGGATCACTGGCTGTCCTTGCTTGTGGTTTTTCTTGAGCCCACTAGCAAATTCTGGGATAGTGCATCATTATGCCAAGACTGTTGCTTTCCAGAGCCTCTCCAATTTATCAATCCTCTTTACCATTTGGCACTCTGTAGTCTAGTTGACAGCATCACAAAATAAACTATAAAACAAGGGGACCATCATACATAAACTATAAACTTTACTTTCAGCATTTCTGATATGGAGTCTAGTGACGGGGAGAGTTCACGGGATACAAGTTTTGGACGTGAAATCCTGACGGCAGCAGGTATACACAGACCACTCCACACTATAAATCAAGGACAGGAATCCCAGACAGATACCAGTGATGATGAATCTGCTGACATGGAAAATGTTGGTGATTTGTTGGAGGAAGCTTTATCTGTTTGTCACGATTCAGAGACATCTCCATCACCATCAAAGAAAGCCAAGGCTAATCATCAGTCTCCACAGGTAAACAAGAGCAGTTGCATTCATTTGTTGGGATTCACTGTTTTATGCTTTCAGTTTTTTTTCTTTTCTTTTTTTTCTTGATCAGAAATTTCGGTGAAAAATTATGTTTAATACAACTTGAATAAAAATTTTCCTTACATTTAGAAAATGTTCTAGCAAGTTTATCGGGAGGGAACACTGAGTAGAACACAGGTTTTTGTGTGGATTAAGGCGTATCAGAGTGGAAGGGATGGTATTACAGATGAGACATCTGTCTGTCCTGTTAATTTCATGGAATGATTGAAATGTGAAAGAAAATAATAAAATAGTAGAACTTGCCATTGATTGATTGTTACGATAGGAATATGAGTACAGAATTAGTTATATTGATTTTTACTGGAAGTTCTAAAAAAATATTCCTGGATGATGCCAGTTGTTTCAAAGTACAGTGAAACCTCGATTTTTACACTTTTTAAGGGGCCGCCTAAAATAAATATAAAATTTGGGAAATGAGAATGATACAACGCAAAGAATAATGTGGTTTTCTTTATACCATAACTTCGGAAGATCATTTAGAATACACATGTTTGGACACTGTACAACGTAAATGTAAATGCAAATATGGTTCTAGGTTCATTTTATTATGCTTCATCAACAACTGTGTTTATGTAGCTTTGGTAAGGTGAGATGGTGATTATGACTTATGAATGGGAAGGAATTATCATGCCTATTTCAAGGTAAAATTCCAGAATTTGCCTGGATAGATGAGCAATCTAGAAAACTGAAATTAATGGCCATGGGGATTTGTTGCGCTGACCACGTGACACCCTCTATCTGCTAAAGTTGGCACTAACTTTGCCGACAAGTGGCGGTCTCTCAATCGGTATAGTTCGCTTGCGAACTAAAACCACAGAGTTAAGTTAATATGAGCAACTATGGTACATACCTAGTTACACTGTTTTTTTTTACCCAGTTTATAAGAGTCTTCTGCTTCATTTTTTCTTGAACTGTCAGCCTGAAAATTTAATTTTCGACTATGTTGCACAATACAATAATATTGTTCTGTGTATCAATTTGACCTATATAATTTCTGGCTGCTTCCAGTATTTTCACTGCATCCAGTAATATCACTTTATATTCTACAACTTCCCCTTCTGCTGATGGCCCAGTCAGCTGTTGATCCAACTCCTGGTTGACATTCTGGATTCTGCAAACCTCAGAATTTGTACCACATGTTGTGTAGTCCTCAAACTGCACTCCAAGATGTTGTAATCTGTGTCAATCATCCTCTCCATCATCATCGAGTTTCACTGCACTGTTGCTGCTGGTATAATCAGTTGAGGAACCATATTCAAAAACAGTTCTTGAGTGTAGTGGGTATTATCAGTCTCCAGGCTTCTGCCATGAAGTGCAGTCTCGCTGTGAAACTCATCTTAACTGACAACAAAATTTGGTCTCTACAAAGTGAAATCACATGGGCACTGAAAGATTGAAGAATTTAAGCTGGGTACATTTGTGTTTCACTTAAGAAAATGCATTAGTCGCTGTGTTGCAGTGGTCATTTTATTGCTGGTCTAGTGTACATGAGCTGTTGATAACACCATGATAATCACTTCAAAGGGTAAAGCTATACCTGTGACAGGCTCCCACATTTTCTCTTAGACAGTTGGCTCACAGATGGCGGTAAGGTTGTCAGCCTTGGTCACCTGCTGCCCTTACCCCCCCCCCTCCCTTGAAAAATTCCTGGTACTCATTTCTGTTAGAGGCTGAGTCGACCTCAGGGCCATAGTGTGTCTGTAAGGCTTAGGTAAATAGAAAAAATCTACCTCATTGGGACATGAACCCGTGACCTTCCAGCTCATAGAATAGTGCCTCAACCAACTACGGTACCGTGTGCCCTGATAATCACTTCAAAGAATGAGAAATATTGCTGTACTTGCGTAAACTGTATGCCATATTATACATAATTGGAGCTTGTGGGAGGGAGTTGTTCAAACATGTTTTGATATTATGAGTATTACGATCATTTTTAGGAATTTTATAAATTTTGCAACATTGACATTCCATTATAATTTCTTAATTTTTTTGTGGTCCGAAAATGTGTATCCTGCAGTTCTCATGAAGCACATTTCTGCTGATATCAGTCTTCTCTCATCAATTTTTATTGTCCATGATTCATTACCATATTATAATGTTGAGCCAGTAAGAAGTGTCTTATAAATTCACTTTCTTATATGCCTAGATAGTGATACTGGTTTGAAGATCTGATTTATACTTACTTGTATTTTGACAAAATTCAAAATTTTTGCAATAAAATCCAGTTCCCTTTTGTAGGCTATACAAGGGCAAGTGAGAAAGTACCTGCAATTATTTTTTTATTAAATACAGTTACAATGAGTATATACCATAGCATTATTTTCCTATATAGTCCCTGTTTTTTCAGTGCTCTTAAGTTCAGCAGAACACAAGTGTCTGTATGTCCTCAGAAGAAAGTGTTTTAGTGTCAAGCCATGCGTGCATTGCTTCTTTCACTTCTTGGTCACTGGTGAAATAGTGACATTCAAAGTGTCTTTGAGTGGACTAAACAGGTAACAGAAAGAGTCAGATCAGAACTACATATATAGAGAATGCTTCAACACCTCAAAGTTCAGTTTGCAGAGACTCCCAACAGTGCTGGCAGCAGTGTGTAGTTGGGTATTGTTGTGCAACATTGTGACAACCATTCACACCATTTGGTTCAAATAGCTGTTTTTAACTGGTCCAAAAGCACTTCATTTTAACGGACACTGTTTATTGTCATACTCTCTTATGGCAGTGTTTCAAAATTGGCCCTTGTGTATCCCCAGAAAGTGTCAACATCACTTTTCCTGCGGGTGGATGAGTTTTGAGCTTTTTGGATGGCAGTATTTGAAGTTTCCTTCGTATCCTCTGACGTTTGCTTTCTGGAGCATAATGGTGGATCCACTTCTTATCCCCAGTAACAACACATCTAAAAAAAAGTCACTTTTTTTGCAATAGCAATTCAGTAGGCCTTGGCAGGTTGTCAAAAAGTTGCGCCTGTGCTTTCCTGTGAGTGTTTTCAGAACCCATCTTGCACAGTCTTTATGAAACCCCTGCTGGACTTGGATGGTTCCATGAGCAGAAGCATGACTGATGCACAGATGGTAAACCACTTAATTGTTGGCACCCATCAATTAACCAGTTCATGAAATAAACCAATTCAGTTGTTTCCTCTGTAGTAATTATGGATGGGCATCATGAACATTCTTCATCAGCTGCAATTGTGCAAATGTTTCTGAACATAGTTATCCGTTTGTACACACTTCGATGTGATAAGTCACTATTTCCATATCGTGCTGAAAGAGCACACCTTCAGCCCACAGAAAATCTGTTGCTGCATGTTGGAAGTGGAAGTGGCCATGTTAACACTGTTCCGATGACACTACAGCTGGCTGGCGAAAGTTGAAAGTATTTCACAGTCACATAGGGAGTTCATGCGCAAGCAGTGCAGCCAACGCAACAAGCTTTGAAATAGATCTTTGCAGAAACTTTCTGATTTACTTACATATTTTATCGAAAATAAATGACAATATTATGCTTATTTTGGACTCTATCCATCGTCTGATATATAGAAGACAAAAAACCAGAATGTTTCAGAGAATGGATCTGTCTCCGAAACCTTGTGGTTTTTTGTCTTCTATATACCAGACGATGGATAGTGTACAAAATAAGCCTAATAGTTCTCTACAGCATACACCATCGTCAGAATCCTTTCAAGTCTATAAATGAAAATATTAATTTTTCCAGTACCCTGTCATTAATGCTCATCTTCTAGTTCCATCTATCTAAAAGCCTTAATTTCGTTTACTTTACTATTTATCTTTGTGGAAAAATTGTATCTATTTCAATCACAAGCAAGAAATATGGAACTAAATCTCAGGCTTTTCAACAAAATTGTTTGGAGGATTATAAGTAAGTAAAAGTGAAAGTAAACCTATTCCTCTAACAGACCGTGAAGGCCCATAGGGTTGTGAGGTTGAGGGTCCCACATTATCTAGACAGTTGGCTCAAAGATGGCAGTCAAAAGCGCACTACCAAAGTGTGGCCCTACGCACCGGCTGTGCTTTATTTAATTTGTTCTGGTACTAATTTCTGTTAGAGGCTGAGTCGATCCCAGGGCCGTAATGTGGCTGGAAGGATTAGGTCAATTGAAAAAAATTCAGTGACCTCATCAGAAATTGAACCCGCGACCTTCTGGTTTGTAGCAAAGTGCCTCAACCAACTATGCTACCGCGTGCACTTCAAACTGGATTATAAATGTGTAAAATCAGAAAACACAGTCTGCAAAGGTGACCACACTCATTAAGATTAGTCATAATATATATATCTGGCCTACTTTCCTTAGTTTGTGTGCTTATTTGATCACTTTGCAGTCTGTGTGTCTATGTGTATCCCCCGTAACAACTTTTGAAAGCTTGGGTAACTTTATGAAACTTGCTGTGTATATTATGGCATGGGAGAGCCCCTCTCAACAGCATATTTCATAAATTGTTCCCCTCAGTAATACCAACATTACAGCCTCTCAGATTGCTGGCACAAAACCTTAATATTACTTGAATGTCTGAACTGATTGTCATAAAGCTTGGTGTGTATATCGTGCAAACTGAACCCATTTCAATGGCACACTTCATAAATGCCTATCAGTAATACCAACATTACAGCCTTTCAGATTGCTGAGGCAAAACCTTATTATTGTTTGAATGTTGAATGTCTGTGTGAATCTTCATGGAACTTGGTATATAGTATATCATGCCATCTTAGTGGCATACATCATAAATCCTCTTATCAGTAGTACTAACACTATAGTCTCTCATATTGTTGAGATAATACCCTTAATATTACTTGAATGCCTGAACTGGTTGTCATGAAACTTAGTACATATAGTAAGCGGCCTCCATAGTCTAGAGGTAATGTTCCCACCTCATGACTCGTGGTACGCGGGTTCAAACCCGGCGGAGGTCGTGGAATTTTTAAGGGCGGAAAAATTCGGGGAACAAGTCCTCCGGGAGGGACTTTAAGCCGTGGGTCCCGTGTCGTAGCTTTATGGCACGTAAAAGAACCTCATATCTCCAAAGGAGGTCACTGAGCCAAATTCAAGGACCTTTCCTGTCCAACAGTAAGTCTCTAATGCCTCTGATAGATGGGGGAAGCATTATAGATACTGCCAAGCCAGTAGAGCCCGAACTCGCTGGCTCGGTCGGGACTGATGGTACGCACCAATATCGGTAGGGTATTGAGCCGTGTCCCTTGACCCTGTGGGTAAAGAACCCAGTTCTTCTACCCACTTAGACCCGTGAACCCCTGCTCAAATGGGTAAGGGACAGGCTCATAAGAAACGGCTTGCTTGTAACGTGATGTACTATGCCTCCCCTCCCCAAGGTCGAGTAAGGGATCTCGGGAGAGGAAAACCACTGTCGGCACTATGGGCCAAGCTGGACGGATCGGCTAGTCCGAACTGGTAGGGAACACACTGCACAAGTATACATAAACACTGGCGTTTCCAAACATATAAATAAATGTATATTGATAATATATGTATGCAGGTGGACTCTGCCTGATGGGCAGGGACTGGTGAGAACATGTGATAAATAATTAATACAGAACTACACTGCGCCTAGCCGCACAGAACTCAAGTCAGGCACGCCTCATGGCGTCTTTCTACTTCTCCAGTACAAACATGTACTTAAGCAAGCCTTGAGGGCACAAGGANTTTACCTCACGACTTGATCTAGCCTTGATCACGTCGTGAGGGCACTCTTCCCCCTTCAGACACTGCTACGGGCCGAAACCGAATTTCCCCAAGATCAATTCAACATAACGAAACCAAATTTAGACGCAGCGATGTTACCTTTCTGAGGTCAACAGGAAGAGAGAAAGATACATTCGTTTGTACTACGCACGAAAGCTCGGAATGCGTCAAGGAGGGGGGGACAACGTCAGCTGACCTGACATCAGCCAAGGGCTTTAACTGGAGAGAAGGAGGAACGGCTCGCATCCTGGCGTTTCTGGGGGGACTCCAAGGAACTTCACGAAGAACCGTTGCACGGTTCAGTATAGAGACTGGTAGAATATCATAGAGGGAAGCACAGTGGACCAATACTGGTCTAAGTGCATGGGGAAACCCACCCTCTCCAATAACTAACTAACTAACTAACTAGTACATATAGTATGTCACCTGAGCCCACCTTAACAGCGTAGTTAATAAATCCATCTAATCAGTAGTACCAGCACTACAGACTCAAATTGTTGCAGTAATACTGTCACTAGAATGCCTGAACTGATCATTATGAAACATTGTACCTGTGTGTACCATGCCACCAGATGCCATCTCACTGGCATACTTCATAAATCCCTCCATTAGTAATACTAACATTGCAGTCTCTTAAAATGTTGTAATAAACCCTAATGCAACTTGAGTGCCCAAAGTAATCTTCATGGAACTTGGTATGTATATTATGCCATCTGAGTCCACTCTTGATGGTGTACTTCATAAATCTCTTCTATCACAAATGATAATACTGCAGCCTCTCATATTCACACATCACAGGTCACTACATCATGCACTAAGTCTCAGTCTGTTGTGTTTCCACTCGTCATTGCTTAGTAATAGCTCCCAATGCTGTAATAGATTTTTCTGCTTCTGTGTTCAGTGGTCTCTGTCCTTGATTGCTGGTGACAGTCTCTCACTTGACTTCAGACTCAGACTAGGTGTTGCTACACAAATTTTCCAACAGTGGTGACACCGCTGCCTCCCATGCCTCTGTCAGGCTATGTTTGTCTCATAACAACTTCAGGCAAGGGCTGTCTAGCTGGCTGTTAAATTGCTGCTAGCCCTTGCCAGCACAGTGATTCTTTGTTTTGAGTCCCATGGGACTCATGACCATATTTTATAGTCTGACGGCTCTGGGAGTGTTCTAGGCTGACTGAGCAAGAACTGCCTGCAGACTCCTGATATAGCCACAGCATGGACCCAACAGAGAACACCACTTCCAACATTTCCTCTACTGTTACATATGTGTCTGTTGCAGCAGTCACATTATCTGGTTGTTGTGGAAAAGTGTTTACAGAGTCATTGGCTAGCAGCAGATGTCTTCTTTGGTTCTGCAATCCTGTATTTCAAACCACTGTATAGCACACTACTCTGGGTCATTTCTTATCAGTAGAGTACAGTTTTCCTCTTCAGCAGGTTTCCTTGAACTTTATCAGAAGTGCAGGATATGAAGATTGGTTGTCCCATTATAAAAGGATCATCTTTCTTTGCTCCACAGCTCTTCTTTTTCTTCCTCTTTCTTTTTACAGTTCAGATGTCCTTACAGTATACAGGACATTCTTTGCTTTTAGAATTTCACTAATTTTTCTCAGTTTCTTTTATAGCAGGGATGGGTAGGCTTGCACGCTGGATACAGCCTGTGGCCCATGACACTCTTCTGATGTTATCAACATGACCTTTTATTACTTGATATTATTTCATATATAGTAATTGCAAGAAAATCAAGATGCAGTTTTGTGATGTTATTACACATAGGAAATTTACTTCTGTAACTTGCTATGCGTACAGCTGTATGTAAGGAAGTTCAGTGAGGAGTCCTTCAATTTACATTTTAAACTATGAGAATCTCAACTGGAGGATATGACCGTTTGTATTTTTTTTTTTCCCCAGAGAGGTTGCATTGACCAAGGAAGGAAACAAATCTGTTCTAGCCCATCCACATCTCAGTCACATAGTTTTGAATATTCAAAAGGTTCATCATTTGTTGAACTGGAACCAGACTCCACACCAAGGAAGGTTGAACACATTCCTGCCTTTGTTGTTGAAGGCAATGAACAGGTTCCACTTATGCACACTGTCAGCTTATATCGTCGACAACAAAAAATGGTAAGTAAGTTGTGAGGTTTTCACAGCGATGACTATGAAGAAAGTCGTCTTCTGGGATCTGGCGCCGTGTATTCTTGGTTTTAACCGACGTTTCGGAGGAACTTATCGCCTCCATCTTCAGGGCAGGTGAATCGCAATGGAGGCGATACATTCCTCCAAAACGTTGGTTAAAACCAAGAATATACGGCGCCAGATCCCAGAAGACGACTTTCTTCAAAAAATGGTAAGTTTAGTGTTCACATTTGAAACTGTTTTTGTGAATTAGGGACAGAGTATTTACCAAATGTAAGAGATGTTTGCCACTCTGTGAGGACATTACCAGCCTCAAGATTTTGTACAGATTTCTGCATCGTCTACCAAGCATGCTCAGCCTTTACTGTTGAGCATGCAGCTGCAGCAAAATTTGGTTTGTGTGTGGGCAACATGGTGTTCTGTACATGGCATGTGGAATGTGTAAGTATATGTAAAATTATATGTTCATTATAATAAATATGAAAATAATATGACAAGTTTGTAAAAAATGCACTTCTCTAATTGTGCTAGTGCGTCTTTATTTTTAGCATATTTTTACAAAATAAATTAGTATTGTATGTCTCCGTAAATAAATATCTCATAACGTTTTGAAATATTGTATATGTATTTGCAAAATAAAACCTAAAGGAAAACAGACATATAGTAAGCTGAATCCCAAATTAATTTCTTTTTATCATAAAAGCTTATAAAGAATGCGAGAAACAGTAGAGTCAGAGATGTTCAAGGTATTTTATAAACTGTGTAGTTTGCTTTGTTTTATTCGAGAACATGCACTGTGACTGTATTGTGTACATTGCGAAACACTTGACAAAATGTAATGTTTTCTTAGTCAAATGGTGCACCCGAACAAAGTTTTGGAATGCATTGGAATAATTGGCACTGCATCTTTTTAGCTAGCTTATCATAGTTAAGAGTGTATTTGGTTGTGGCCAGTCTCGTACAGTCGTTTAAATTTTTGTCACTTAATGATGATCAGTACTTTGGCTTTAGCATTTTTGGCGTTGAAAATCCTGATTTGCTTAAGTAAGCAGAAGTGAAACATGCAGTCACCTTCAGTGACACTTATTTTAGAATAGGGGCATTCTGCAGGTGATGCTAAATTAACATGTTTATGTCACTGACTCTTGTTTTCAATGGAAATTCTTGTTGCAAATTTATGATATCACTTTCTAATTCACTCACATTTTCTTTGAACACAGGAGCAATAAGTTCAGCACCCTCACTTATATCCATCTCTTGAAACGGATGACTAACAAAAGATACAGTGAACTTCACGCTTCCAAAGTCTTTAAATCTTATATTAGTCTCCTTTAATAGTTTACCAGTACACAGAGTGTGGAAAGATGCATTAAATATACTGTCACATGTTGGGTGTATAACACGACAAATAACTTCACTCCATATTGAATATAGTGAATTTATTACACTCGCTCTCACAATTACACCACTACTGCCATCTGCAGTATCACAACTCACTCCGGTGAATGCTAGACTGCAACTGACTGGTTACTCCGATAATCCTCTCGTTATATAGCTTCCGCACTGACAACAGAGAAAACAGTTATGTGATAGCTACCACTGTTGAGTAAACACCGTATTTACAGGCATTGCTGGGGAATGCTGCCAAGAGTTGTTTATTGTTTCGTAGTAACCGCAGTGTCCCCTGTTACATCACAATGGGCAGTGCTGTTACATCGCCGCGGGGGAAGGGGACGGAGTGTTGACTGGCCTGTTACCATGGCAGTGGCCGTTGCTCCGATGCTGTTATGTCACCGCTGGAGGGTTGGGGGGTGTTTACCGAGCATTGCACCATCCACGTCACATTGCTCCCTTCTAAAGGTTATTCGTCCTGAACAGCCTAACGGTACATCCCCGTTCCTTTTTTTCTTCTCTGGTGTTTGTCTTTGGGGTGCTACCTCTGCTCCCAATTTTTTTAAAAATGCTCATCTCGAGCAATTCAATGGTCCAGCTGTTGTTGATTCCATCATTTCACATTCATTTGTTGCTCATTCACTCTCGTTGGGAAGACCGGTGCTTCTGCGTATGATGTATTTTTGTTTTTGTAATCATCAATAAAATAGAGCTGTAAAATAAAAAATGCTGACACTTTTTGAAAATATGTGTACCTTCTTATGTACTTCTGAATGTCTAAATATAACTAAATGTTTCATGTCATTTGAAACAGTATATTTTTATATATTTTGCATGATAATTTAAAATCTATGATATTGTCGCATGTTAAATGGTAACCTACTTTTGTCTCCTAGGTAACGGGATGAATGATTTCATGTGGGGCTCAGAATCAGCGAATATTTATTGAACACATTCTTTTACACACTCAAGTACAATTATTATCACATTAATCTCCCAGCTGTTCTTGATGGCCGCTAGACTTCAACTGAACTGCCGTCTGGTATATTCAGCCAGTGTCGATCGTAACTGACTCTTTGGAACTGGACTGTTATAGCCTGGTTTCGGACGGGATAGGATGCACCATTGCCCAATGTTCGATTTCACGTTTTCTATGCTCATTGCCACAGAAACGCGTTTCCACTGTTTCGGCAATTTGTCACTGTGGGAACTCAACAATTTCCATTGTAGCCATTGCTCAGCGATGGACGACATATAACACATTACAATATTGTGACATGTTGCGCAATGGAGGACAACCCCTTCCTGCCCAGCAGTGACGTGGCGGGTGAGTCAGCGCTCCATCCCCCCCCCCCTCCATGGTGACATGGGTAACAGCCAACAGCGGTTCCGATTGCGTAACAGGCGGGTCCTGCAACTATATAAGTGAACCACTTTGCCTACGAAGCGAGTTGAAATGTGGCCGTTGCTGAGTTCAGTTGTCGCAGTTGGTTAAAACATAGCCGCCGCCGAAGTTAGTTCTCAAGCCAGCAGCCTACGAGTTGAGTTGGAATCTAACAGCAGTCGCGGAAAGAAGAACCAGACGCGTGTGTAATTGTGTAATTTGGAGTGTGTAATATAGAGAGACTTGTATAGCTCCCGTACTGTGAATATGTGTAGACTACTGAAGATAGAGTGAACAGATTATTGCGAATAGGGTTATAAAGTGAAACCCCGCAACAATGTGAACAGATTATTGCGAATAGGGTTATAAAGTGTGAAACCCCGCAACTGTGTTATAAATAAGTGTCGCCGATACTTGTAGGTTGTTAAATAAACCAATTAACAATCTGAACGGTGTCTTCAGTAGCGAAACACGTTACAATATCAAGAAAAGCATACACATTTTAGCTCCTTCAGTGATGTTTTCATGATGAGAGCATTGAATTTAGCCAGAGAGAGATGATTTTATCTCTATTGTAAGAAAATAAAATTGTTTCTCCAGTCCATTCAATGAAACTTTTCAAATTGCTGTTCTGGTATTAGTTTTTCTGGCACATTTCTCCAAGTGATTTGCTGAAGTTACAGAATTTATATTCATAATTTTATGTCACTATAAATTTATCAGCATTCTCTCATAGTTTTAAATGTTGAATTCAGACTAAAATACATATAATGAAATAACCATTTAAGGTTTGCCTTGGGGGACAAGGTTTCTGTATAGTGAAAGATTTTGAAGGAGGTTATAAAATTCAAACAAAAAAAAGACATTATTATTAATTGCAAATATTTGGTTTAATCTAACCAAAAAGCAAATATGATACATATGTCTAAAAATAAAAGAGAATGATAAATGATGTGTCTAATTGCATAGCAATTTTTGCTTAAAGTAGATTTCTTTCCTTTTTTGTGTCCATGTTTTAATTTTAACAATAGATCTATAATATGTGTATATTATTGTGCAATTAAGTTCAACTTACTAATATCAGCACAAAGAAAAACTTAATACAAAGTGTGCTGGAAGCCAAAAGTTCCTGTGTGGTATGTATCCTGAGTAAGCAAAAAATCAATATCACTGGTCTGTTGCTTCAACTCACTCCCTGCATGCATCTACTGAAGTTCAACAAGGTGACATGCACACTTCAAGGCCCTCTTCAAACAAACAGATGTTATATTTATCTGACTGGAAGATGACATAACCCCCCCCCCAAAAAAAAAAACACATGTATGCAAATAAAATGTGATTGTATGTATTAATTTCATACAGTTATTACAGACAAACATGTGAGATAATAAATATTTAAAACATATGTGAAGTCATCATTGTCTTCATTATTCCCAGCTTCTGATCCATGGCATTAGTGATTCTTCAGGCAAACCTGTTACAGCTCATGGCTCCTTATCTTGAAATGTATTTATATCTCAGTCTTTCCCTCACTTCCTAGGCTGACAACACCATAAGGTGTGAATGCTGGCATTTACTGCATTTAATGAACACAGCAATAAAAGCCTAAAGCATTCAAAATTTTCACACTCAAATTGGAAGGCAGCACTTTATTTTATAATTCTGAAAGTAGGGAAATTACATAGTCTTCCACTCAGATAAATATTGTCACGTGTTGGGGTGTATACGCGACAAATAACTTCATGCCGTACTGGATATAGTGAATTTATTTCACATTCGCTCTTACAGTCACACAATTTACAGATCCACAATTACTGCCATTGGCAGTATCACAAATACTACACTGCAAATGCTGGTTGACTGCCTGGCTGACTCGTAACTCAAGAACTTGAGAACTGTCGGTGAATAGTCTTCGCTGCTCCTTATTTAGCCCCATTCCGGACAACAGGAAACAGCTACGTAATAGGCACCACTGCTGTCTGGTGCCGTGTTGCTAGCAACACTGTCAGGAGTTGTTTACTGCTGTGTAGCAACAGCGGCATCCCATGTTACGTCACCGCAGGGAGAGGCGGGGTGTTGACTGACTTATTACCATAGCAACGGCAATGCTCCAAAAGCATTATGTCACTGTTGGCGGGGTGAAGGGTTTCCTCCATTGCGCAGCACGTCACAATATGTTACTAAATTGAGATATGGATTTCATGTGAGGATTCAATTTTTGTTCACTAAATGCTGGTGAAGCACTAAATCAGAGGAGGTTATTCATTATTTACGTGAGATTTTGGCTGGGACCACAAAAGATGAACACAAAATGAGGGAATCTCCTAGACTGAGGAAACTTAAATCAGATTCTTCTGTATGATGCGTGTGTTTTTTAGGCTGTGAAGGGAACTCCAGTCCGCCAGGTGGTGAGACAGCCAGAACCTGAACCAGAAGAATTCTCAAGTGAAGAGGAAATGGAGTCAAATAAGGAAGCTGTGTGCAATAAAATATCAGAGCTGGTGGGTGAGGTAAGTTTAATATTAACATCTAAGTGTAGAGTCTTGGCATTTCCTGGTGTTTTCTATGCTTATTAATTACATCCATGATGTGTATGTATTGACCGTCTTCTAGTGCACACAGTCTCACTTGTCACTTCACTACATGTTTTGGCATCACTGTGCCATCCTCAGGTGTGTTATTTACGTTAAACTGTTGCACTGCTCGCCATCATGTGTCGTTTGTAGAATGATTTAAAATGTATATTCGTCATGTACTATAATAAAATTTATATATTAAAATTTTATTATAATACATGATGAATATACATTTTAAATCATTTTACAAACGACATATGATGGCGAGCAGTGCAATAGTTTAACGTAAATAACACACCTGAGGATGGCACAGTGATGCCGAAACATGTAGTGAAGTGACAAGTGAGACTGTGTGCACTAGAAGACGGTCAATACATACACATTATGGATGTGAATCAGTGCAACAGGACGCTAAATTACAACCTTAATAATTATGTTTCTGCGTCTAGGTTGTTTGGTGAAACCAGATTCAGAATTCATTTGCTGGGTTTCTCATAGCTTCATCTGTTAGTTCAGTTTCAGGGTTCTTGTCAGACCTGAGCTACCTTGAAGGTACCAGGGATGAGCTCCTGTATTTTATCCTTACAAGCTTTCCCCTACTTCATCATTTCCCTCCATCTATGATGTGAATGTGAAGTTGGAATTTAGGAGAGGTAGGTGCAGAGGTTTGTTGCTAGACAGCCAAAGGAAGAAGATAGCATGAACTGTTCTTATGTGCATGGACAGCAGGTCAATGATAGAACTTCCTAAATGAAGGCTATTTTGTGAAGAGCTGAATTATGAGGGCTTATGAAAATTTCTTAAAGCAGGAGTTTTCTCCTGTTTGCCCATGTCATGTACTGACAACAGAGAATAGCCTAATGACCCAAGTTCTGTTGCAAACTCTAAAGTTGCAATATAAATGACTCATAATATGTGGGGGTCAAAAATGCTCTGAACGAACACTGACCATGATAAAAAAAGGAGCAGGAAACATGACCAAGTTAAAAGGAGGGGCAAGTCTGGGAATCTTATGCAACTCACTGGATATGTGTGGCAGCTTCAGCCATGACTGCAAGTAAGACACTGATGCTCTTCATGACACTGAAATAAAACCACCTCTTTCTATGCTACAGCTTATACTTGTTGACCCTTAAAAGTAGGGAATTTAATTGTCAATCTATAGCATGATATGGGAGCAGTATTTATGGGTGTTTTGAATTTTGCTGTAGGGAGTGTAAAAATGGCATGTCAAACTGAAATAGCTTCCATGGTTTTCTTTCAATTGGAATTAAATTTTGGACGTCAAGAAAATCTCAGCTCCATGAGTGAGTGAGTGACCAGTTTTATATCTGTATAATTTTTGCTGTCTCAATATAATTAAATCAGCTTGACTGAGGGATTGTGTTTTAAAATGTGGGTCCAGTGCCTCCTGATAATGACCTGTTCGATCTTTTTGACACTTGTAAATGCAGGCAATGGTACAGAATTCATTTCTGGATTCTTATGATAAGGTGGTCTTGAGAGTGATACAGTAAGTAGCCTGTAAAGGGAACCACAGTTTAAAGTGGGCTTTGAGCTGGTATGGGCAGGGCATTTGTCTCATCACTCAGAATGTTATCTTTGGTGTAAATTGTGATGGTTTTGGCCTGTGAGCAGAAATATCTTGTTGGAGATGAGACTCTGAGCCTTCTGCATGAGAACCAGTGCCTGTGTTTCGAAGTCTTTGTTTTGGGTTAAATTACAGTGTGCGATAATGAAATGTTTTGTGTGTTGTGTAGGTGAAGAAACAAGAGATAATGATTTCACAGGCGACTCAGGCGCTTAATTTCTGCTATTCAACTATTGAGTTCTCAGGTTCAGCAGAGCAGGTTGAAGGAGAAAGGTTGCTACTTGCTGCAAGTAAGTATCATATTTTGGTCCTATCCCATTTGAGGAAATAATTGTTATTGAACAGGTGCTTTTCTAATGGATACTTGGGAGGAACCTTAACCCTTTTGTGCCAATAAATTTACTGAACCACTGGGGCAGGTTCTGCTAGTGCTGACTGTGAGCTAGGGTTGGAAGGAATTCCATCAGCATGTTGTGAGTGAGTTTGTGTGATATCATATGCGTTGTCTCATGCTATATCTGTGACCATCACCATCATTGAAAGTTGATGCTGTTGTACAGGCACTAATGTGGCATAATGGTGTTCTTTATGGCAACGGTGCTGAGTAGAATATTTGGACTGAAGAGGGATGAAGTGACAGGACGTTGGAGAAAACTGCATAATGAGGAGCTTCATAACTTGTACACTTTGCCAAGTATAATTAGAATGATAAAGTCAAGGAGGATGAGCAGGACAGGGCATGTAGCACGAATGGGGGTGAAGATGAATGCGTATAGGATTTTGGTGGGGAAGACAGAAGGAAGCGACCACTAGGAAAATTTAGACGTAGGTGGGTGGGTAATAATAAGAATAAATTAAGATGGATCTTAGAGAGATATGATGGGGTGGTGTGGGCTGGATTGATATGACTTAGGATAGGGACCAATGAAGGGCTCTTTTGAACACTTGTAATTAACTTTCAGGTTCCATAAAATGTTGGGATATTCTGTACTAGCTGAGTGAATAGTGGCTTCTCAAGAAGGGCTCAGCTCAATGAAGTTAGTTAGTTATTTGCAAACAAGCAAAACAGATGATGTTTGAAGTGTACCAATATTTCAGAGACACAAGTCCCATCAACCAGACAAAACAATCTGTAAGGGTGGTAACAATATTGCCAGATGTTGAGAAAGAAGAGGAACTGTCTGTGGCATAGGTCTTAGAACTATATGGACATGACACAAATTGAATGTTTAGGTGTATATTTTGTGTTAAATATATTCATATTTGTGTTTAGCATCAATGAGCTGTATAATTTTATCTTTGTCCTGGTTAAATGCATGTGATTTTTCTGAACGGAACAAATCTGGCAATGTATGGCAACTAATCTTCAACATAAATGGAACATCAGGGGGAAACAGCATAAGGCTGCCTTTTGTGGAGGTTATGGCATGACTGCTGAAAGCCATAATTGTGAAGCCAGAAGACAGCTGTTGCTAGGGAATGGCTCTGCAAACATGCCTGTTGCTAGGCAGTGGTTCTGTAAATGTCACATGACCTCAGCCATGCATACATATGCAACAGTAGAATAACTGTTTGGAGCAGTGTTTTCTATGCGGTTCGCCACAATGGCTATGTCACATTACAACAAGGCAGCTGCAAGGACAGGGGTTTTCTGTTCTGAGGCTATATAATGACTAGCAGCCGTTACAAGTTGACCTTGGAAAGGAGATCCTGACTCATGGTTAGAAGTTGTGGGAATTGGAGCCATGGAGCAGTTTTGAGCCACCAACTGGTGAAGAGAAACTGGGGAATCTACAGCATTGGGAGCCGTTACTATGTGACAACTGGTAAAGACACAGCAAACTGAAAAGACTTAATGCCTGCTGTAATAAATTCTAATGTGTGAATTAGTAGCAGTTCTGTAATTAATTGTGGTCATGAGTTTTAAGAGTCCAGTAAATCCAGTTACGAATCCAAACCCTGTGTCTGGTCACTAAACATTTTAGAATGTAATGAAATACATAACACAATCTAAGCGCAAACTTCAGAATAAGAAATGTTAGTCTACAGTGTTTTAGTACAGAAATATTTATAAGAATGTACTGATGAAATGGTCAAGACACAAAACAAGGCAATACTCCATCTTCCAGTATAGTATGCTATAGGGCTTACAAGGTGTATCGGAAAGTTCCCAGACTATGTAAAAAAAGAAATGCTGGCTTAACTTACTCAATTTTTGGCTGCCATCTCCTTCAAAATAGTCTCCTTGAGAACATATACTGCGATCCCATTGTTTTTTCCACGCTTCAAAAGTACCATGGAAGTCATTTTATTTAATGCTTTTGAGTACTGCTTCTGATTGATTCCATATGGATGTCAAATACTATTTCAAAACATAATTTCTTCAGTTTCATTTTCAATTTGGAAAGCGAAGCGAAATCACAGGGGGCTAAGTGCAGCGAGTAGGGAGGATGGTAAATGATAACCATGTTGTTGTTAGTCACAAACTCCGTGGTTTTCAGGGACGTGTGGATGGGCGCGTTTTCATGATGGAGGGATGAGATGCATGTTCAAATTTTCAGTTAAGATCTCCTGGCAAACTCCATAACTGATCCAAACGGTGTCTGCAAGCTCATGGATTGTTCGGCAAAAGTCTTTGTGGATAAGCTCTTGAATTTTTTCAACATTTTCTGTCGTTTTGCTAGTACTTGGTCCCCCTGAACTTTCATCATTCTCAACTGACACTTGACCGGCCTTGAAACGTGAATGCCATTGAAGAAAGCACTGTCCGGCTTAAAGAATGTTCTCCAGATGACTCATGAAGCATTTCAAGGATTTCAGTAGCGGATTTACTGAGCTTCACACAAAACTTTATGGAGACTTGTTGCTTGATTTTGCCATCCATCGCAGACAGAATGAAACACGATGTTGAAAAACACTCGTATAAGAACAGTGCATTGTCACATGGCAGACTGATGCAATAGGCTTTCGGAAGTGTGACCTTGGCCTCCCCTCTCATCTTCTTTCACTGATATAGTTACATCAATAACAGTCCAGGAAACTTCCGATACCACCTTGTATGTAGATACAGCTGATGGCACAATAAAATCCTTTAAGTTATCTGGACCCAGTGACCCAGATGATCATGCTTGGAAAGCCTAGTTTACTAGTCTGCCGGCTGATGAGAGGGGTAAGTAAGATTAACACACAACAGGCAGATTTGGCTTGACAGCCATGGAAAATGCAGCACCTCTAGGGTCTATGTGTCAGTGGCAGTGCCTGTGCTGACTTATGCAAGTGAAAACTACATAATAAATCGATTGGACAAAAACAAAATAGAGTCAGCTGAAATGAGCTTCCTGTGTCCAGCACCTGGACACAACACAAAGGACAAACATCCTTTAGAATTAAAAATATCAAATTTAAATGAGAGAAAAGTCAGGAAGAAAACTTATATGAACATATTTTAAGAATAGCAACAGTAGACTCCCAAAAATATTACTGAATTATAAACCCAGAGGACATTGAAATATCAGATGATATAGCTAGATGGGAGAACATATTCTTTTGAAGTTGGAATCAGACCAGTGGCACATACCCTTGAATAATAATAATAATGATACGGGAGGGTTAATTTTATGTTGTCAACAGTTAGGTTATGTACTGTCAAATTGTACTTAGATGAATGTTGCATTGGGATAGATTTGGGAGGAAGCTGTGGCCTAATTGAGGTACTACCTCATCACTTGTTGTGAGGGACTGAGAGAAAGTACAAAATACTTCAGTGAGGATAGCTGGTATCCCAGCTGAGATATGTACTGAGCAACATATTGCAATGCAAATTAACAGTGAGTATCATCATATGTTACTTGATGTTATTTAATTTACATATGTATATCCAATTACCAATGGAAATCCCGTCATACACATTACAACTGGTGTCAGAAGTGGATGGATTGGAGGCTACAGAGGTTTGTTTTATTGTCAGCCTACAAAAATGGAAGAAATGGTGGAACACCTGGTAACTGCCATAGGAAAGATAGACTCCGACCAAGCAAAAATGGATGCCAGAGTAAGGGAAATGAATGCTGAAATAAGAACTGACAGAGAAAGAATAATGACAAGGCTGGAAGCCATGATGCAGAACAATCAAGAAATGATGGAATCCAGGAGAGATGCCGATAATGAATAGTTTGAGAGCCTTTGAAGTACTCTCATCTCCTGGATGGATATCCACCAGGCAAAGACAGTGTCCACTCAAGAAATGAAAACCAAGATGGCTGTACATCAAGAGATGATGGAGGTCACACTACACTCTATCCGGTCCGAGTTAGAAGAGAACCTCAAACACTGGGTGGAAGACGTCATGTTGTGTGTCGACCAAACGATGCAGGGCCTCATAACTTCATAACTTTCTGGTTTCTTACTTTAGACATAACTGAGAACACCTAGAAGATACAAAATTTTCGAAATATGTGTGGTAGCCACAACAAAATAACATGTAAGAACTGCAATAAAATTTTGGTATGTGATTCAAATTTTCAGTCCCAGTCCATTTTTTTAAAACATGATACATTTTAATGTCTATTCGTTAGATTTAGCAACTATATGTTGTGATGTTGACAGGGAAAGCAACTATGCCCCTGTTGCTATTTAGAAATAAAATTGTCATGGCAAAATTTATGAGCATGAAGAAGTCAAGATATGCAGAAGACACATTCATATACTGACCATATTTGTTTACAGCTCATCGCCGACAAGCTGCACTGCATGAACTACAACGATTGCGGATAGAAGGCAGCCTGAGGCCAAAGGGCTGCAGCTCTGAACTGTCAGTGCGGGGATCACTTATCATATCTAATGTAACCTTACCGTTGACGAGAGACTATCTTCATACAGTGGCTGCAGGTGACTTTCCTGGATACATGAAAAATATCAAATATACACTAATACAATGTGGTTCAAATATGACCGGGACTGATTTTTTTTAAACCATAATTGCCAAACACTCTTGCACATGTCAGTCTTCAATGTACTCCCCTCCGGAGTCAATATATTTTTTCCAACGTTCTGGAAGCATCCTGATGCCCTTTTCAAAAAAGGCTTGTGGTTGGCGGTGTATCCACTCCCGAACATTCTGGATGACGGCGTTGTTCACAAACCGCATGCCTTTCAAGTCTGATTTGAGCCTTCCAAACAGGTAGAAATCGCTTGTGGCCAAATCGGGACTGTACAGCGGATGTGTCAGAAGGTTCCATTTCAATTTCCAGGGGGTTTCCATTGTTGTCTTGGCTGTATGGGGGTGTGCATTGTCTTGAAGGAAGGCTACCCGCTTTCCACCTGTCTTCCACTTAGATCGTATCTTTTCTTTCATGTCTGTTGCCAGGAGGTCTGAATAATAAGCTGAATTGACTGTTCTGGCATCTGTCAGAAAGTCTACATGGATAACCCCCTGCCAGTCCCAGAAGAACGTTGCCATCACTTTTCCTGCTGAACAGCTCCTCTGGGCTCTCTTGGGTTTGGGAGAACTGGTATGCCGCCACTCGCATGATGATTGCTGGGACTCGGGAATGAAGTAGTGCACCTACGTTTCATCAGTGGTCACTATAGACTTCAAAAATGCATCACCTTCATCTTCAAACTGCTGTAGGAGACGACTGGCAACTTGCATGCACACCATTTTGTTCACGTCCGTCAAAGTGCGTGGTACCCACCGTGCATTCACCTTGCGATAGTGCAGGTGGTATTTCATGATGTCTTATACACTACCAACACTGATGGACAGCATTGCTCCAAGTTCCTTGATAGTGATGCGCCTATTCTCACGAATAAGCACGTCTGCATGATTAATGTTTGGCTTGGTGATGGATGTTCACGGCCAATGATCATGCAGTTCATTCTCCACATGCTTTCTGCCCACTCTGAAGGACTTACACCACTCAAACACATGGGTCCATGAGAGACCCTCTTCCCCATACTGTTGTTGGAGTCTGTGGTGAATTTCAGTGGGAGGGTCATTTTCTCCAACAAGGAATTTGATCACAATGCGTTGTTCCACACTCTGTGGTACCTTCTGTTCACTCATCACTCTAGCAACTCCCAGACGGGACCGAACAGGATGGAGGGTGGAGGTTGTGGCTTCACTCTCTCAAGGTCGCACAGCTTGTTTACACACAAATCAGCCCCGGTCATATTTGAACCACCTTGTAAATATGAGAACATAATCAGTGTTTTTACAGGGTTTGGGGGTGTACATGACATGTAGATGCGTTTTGGATTGATGACCAGATTTATTTCACACTTATACAACTTGTTACTACACTTCACAAACCACTACATTGCGTTCAGTTAAGGAGGAAACTTTGCAACACCGCTGACCCGGCCCAACATTCCTCACAGATTATTGTTGCTCTAACTGCTGGTAGCAGAATGAGTCATTAGCACTGATAAACACGCGCCGTTACAGTTGCAGTGACATTACATTTGCAATATTTTGCAGACCTTACAGTGCCATTTGCAATAGGAACACTAAAATATTTGTATTCAGCTTTCTCATTGGAATACTTTGTTACATTTGCAATGTTTTTGCTTCTTTGCTGTGAATTATTAGTTTGCTCTTCCCTTGTGCCAACATGACAATTGCATAGGAATAAATAAAGCATCTCATATAAAATAAAAGACCTTAATTTTATACGGGAACACAATATGTGGGTGTCTTGAAGTGGGTCTGTGTCTGTGAGACAGTATTAACAACAGCACATTGCCCATGCACATTGTCACTTTTCCATCCTGCCCACACACACCTCGTGCTGTCTCCTGTTATGACCATAATACCTCACAACTCTTTTAGGCATTTGAATGGGGATTCAAGGCTATGAAGTCTGTCACTTAAAGAAGATATCAAGGCGTTAAAAGAGAAACTGAAGGAAATATAACCTGCTAACATGCAGTACCATCAGAAGACTCACACTCAGTATCATGGGCCTGTATTGTCATTGTGTGCTACAGGTGAATGGTGCCATCATTATATGTACTTGGTGCGCTCTCAGGAGCAAGTGGTGGCCTCACAAGTTCTGGCTGCCACAAGTGAGAACCTGCGTCATGAGGGAGGTGCAGCTCTGCTGTTCCCTGGTTCTGTGAAACTTTCTGGCCTATATAGTGATTTCAAAGTGACACTTGAGGTATACATCTTGCAGACCAACAGAGAAGTGCTGCCTCATGATGTCAAATACCATATCTTGGGCAAGAAGGTATGTTATATAGGAGGCCTGTTTTCAGGCATATGAGTAATTAGCCTTTTCTTGCATCAATTTTTCTTCTAGTTTCATTTTATTTTGTTGTGGTCTTTGGATAAAAAGTGTCCAAAGTCTTTTTTGATGTATTTAGTGCCTGTCTGAACTATCTTGTTCTAGGTTGTCCCCTAGATCCCTTTCTTTTTACATGGCCACACCATTGTAATCCTTCTCTTCTAACTCTGTTACAAATTTTGGATTACAGTATCTAAACATTTAATTTCTAATTCTGTCCTTTGATATTTTCTCTCAGTACTCATTGCTCATGAATTTTCTTATTATCCCCCTCATTATAGTCATGAACTGTTGATATTTAACCTACACACAAAGTGTACTTTAACCTTTTTGCTATGGAGCTCAAAGCAGTGTAAGGTACACTAGCAGTCAGATTCTGCAGAAGTTGTGTTGTGAGTTAAAACATTGTGCCAGTGCAGCTCTTGCATCTATGCTGAAACCTTTCCAGGAAATGCAGGACATGTAGTGACCATATGTAGAAACTTTCATGACCAATTGTAATTTTTACCAAGTGATGTAGCAAAATATGGCTTTGTTTCTTTGCATTGTAATATATTGTTAATTAGCACTGTCAAGTAGTAAGGTGTGCAAGTAAACATGGGTACTTAAGAGATGAAAACAGATTGCAGAAGATGCCATTACTAACATTTTATTTGCCGATTCTGAATTTGGGCAAAAATGCAATGATGATTATAGTAGTGACAGTTCAACTAATTGTTCTAGTGGTCAGTGTGATATTGAAATGGAAGATATGGTATTGAAACATGGTAGCATCATGGTACAGGGTACATTGACCCAGTGTAAAGAAATAAGTGACAGAATAGGATGTAGCACACCATACTGTACATTTCTGAAATATTTTCCTTGTTCAGTATTTGTCCACACAGCAGAGCAAACAAATTTTCTGCACCCAATTTCATAACAGAATATATGGCTTCCCTCCCTCTTCTGCAGTCCATTCTTGGGACAGATCTAATGCAATTGATATTCAGGCAATAGTTGCCCTTGAAATTGGAATGAGTATATGCAAAAAGAGTTCTCTGGAAGAATATTTCAGTGAGCCACATTGGCTAAATATTAAACATCATTACACATTAATTATGTCAAAGGACAAGTACTTTCTTCTGCAGTCTTCTCTGCATTTCAGTGATAACAAAGAACAAAGTTCTAAAGGAAATCCTGGATATGACCCACCCTTTGAAATTAGACCTGTCATGGAAACAGTTCAGAACACTTGCCTTTAACATTACTCCCTTGGATCACAACTATCAGTCAATGAAACCATGCTACATTCCAAGAGTAGGCTGTGGTTCAAGTGATAACTGTCTTATAAGCCTTCTGCCAAGTGTGGTGTAAAAGTTTTGTCCCTATGTAACAGTCATTCATTAATTTTTATTCATCCTGGAGATCAAAATACATTGATATAGGATATGTCCATCCATGTTATGCATTGTAGAAATTACACTAATGATAATAAGTATTAACTTATTAGAAATATAACAATGGAAGTATTAAAAATAATGATAATATTGTCCCGTGTTGGGTATGTCACATGACAAATAATTTCATGTGGGTATTGGATTCAGCGAATCTTTATTGGGCACTCAATCTTACACACCTTACAATTGTTATCACTTCAACTGTATTCCGCGGCGGCTATCTTTCAACTGTCTTGCCGCTGTCTGTGGCTCTTGGCTTAATGTAGGTGTTCTGCGGACTCAGTAGAGGACACCCCTCGCCAAGGTTTGATCTCACATGTTCAGCAGTCCGTTGCTTCGGGAATGCTCTTTATACACTGGTAATGAGTTTCGTCTCATCCATTATTACTCAACGGCCTTCTGTTGTTCATCTCCAGGGAAACGCGTTCATTGTTTTGGCATTATATACGCAATGGCCCACTGTTATTGCATTACCATGACAGTATCTACTCCAGACACGTTACAGTATTATTAAATTATTAGAAATATAGCTTGTTAGAGATAAAACAATAGAAGTATTAAAAATATTGATAATGTTAATTTATTAGAATTGTAACTTATTCTACATGTCTGCCTGTCAGTAGCCAATACTACAGAATTCTTCATTTAGGTAATGTTCAACAAAATATTTACAAGTTCTTCAGTGCCTTCTTAATTTGGTTGTTGTTACTTATTTGTTTTATGTTGTTTGGCACTTTGTTGTAAGGATGGGGTTTTCTCTAACTTCATTGTTTACATAGGAAAATCTGGGAGCCTGCAGATACTGTTGAACTCTTGGGGAAAGAGTTTTGTAATTTATACACAGTTTTTGGATCAATGGGCATGTTGTTATTTATTATGATAACTGCTTTTCCAACCCTGCCCTTTTCCAGAAACTGGAAACGAATTCTGTAGATACCTGTGACACTGAAAGGGCGGGTAGAAAAGGTCTGCCTACTGACATGAAGGTACAGGCATTTAAAATGAAAAAAGGCTATGAACAAAATTTTGGTTGAATGACAGGGAATCTGTACTTACCAAGACACAGGTTGGTTGAATCTTACCTTCACTGTGCATAATATTGGAATTTAACCCTTTCGCGGGGTCTTTTAAATTCCGCGGCCGTCTCTCCGGCGGTAATCTATTCAGCCGTCCATTTAAATTTTGCTCGAAAATGATTTATTCATCATTGTTCTTAAATTATATGAGATAGGAACATGAAACTTTCACTAAAATGATCTTAAAAGGTGGTTTTATAACCTTACCTTATAATATGAGCGCCCTGTATCTTGGCAATGGAAGCAGGTTGTTTAGTATTTGAGCAGTGAATGGTACGCCTTGAAGGATGAAACTTTCACTAAAATGATCTTAAAAGATGGTTTTTATAACCTTACCTTATAATATGAGCGCCCTGTATCT